ACGCCCCCCCCCCATCACTACACTGTTGTCCAGGTCCATGAGTTCTGAAAGAAGCAATTTAAAAAATATGTATAGCAAAGTCCTATTTTCATAGGTATATGTGTGTGTAGGTATGTGTGTGTGCATTTGTTTATTTAACTTGTCTGCATAAATATAAGAAAAAGTCATGAAATAAACACATCCAGCTAGTTACCTCTAAGAGCTATGAATTATAGTGAAAGGGGAGGTACTTTCAACACTTATTTTATATAATAAAATAATAATGAGGCACCTTCAAATCTTATTTTACATAGTTGGATGAGTTATGGCCTTTTTTCCCCCTGTTTTTGTATATTTTCCAAAGAAAAACTCTGAGTCACTATCTTGAAATTAAAAAAAAAAAAAAATAGCCAGATGTTCCAAACTACCCTGCGTTGGGCCTAGTAGGATGGGAATCCTACTCGAGAAGAAACAGCAACAGTGTTTACTGTTTGAATGCTGCTCACTTCATTGGGATTCACCGCCTGAGCCGAGGCTCTGCTCTGTGAGCTCCACTTGTTTCTTGGCTGCCTGCTTGATCCTAAACCCTTCCCTCCCAAAAGAGAAAAGCACCCAAGGGATGTGGCGAACGCCTAGATGTCAGTGCTGATGCGCACCTTTGGGATTTGCGTTTGCTTCTATTGTACTTACTCTTTTTGCAGATGGGAAGGGGAGGCACCCAGGTCTGGTCCTCTCCACACTGGCTCCAGTTGCTGCCTTTGAGGATGTAGCCCTCATGGCACTGAAACGTCGCTTTGTCTCTCACATTCACAGGCAACTGGGAACTAAACTCACCATTCAGCAGCACAGGGGCAGGACAGTGGCCCACTGGGGAAGAAAAGAGGCAGGGAGCTGAAGGGGGCCAGGGTGACACCCCCCACAGCAAACACTAGGCCTCCTCGGGCTTCACTGAGAAGATAGGAAATGAGAGCTCGAACTGCGCTTTTTAATAGGGACTGCTACATGGTACCCAACCACATCGATCCGGGTAACAAAAGACTGGGGTGGCCTGGGGGTGGCAGAAAGGGTCTTGGACATGCACAAAAGTGATAACTGGCACTTGAACTTACAACAAATAATTACGCATATAACTGGAAGTTGCCAATAGCAAGTTCACCATCCTGTTACGTAAAGCCAAAGCATTGCTCTAAACTCTTGAGCATATGTTTAAGGCAAGTGTTCCCTTCTCCTTTATCCAGCCAAATATATATACATTATTCATTATTTTGTTACTTCATTTTTTCTCCCCAGGTGTAAAAACAGGAGAGAATGCAGAGAGATGTGAATTTGGTCATATGGATAAAAGGGGAACGTGCCGGTGTGCTTTACTTTGGGTATAAACGGGAACCAATCCAGCCGTTTCTAAGAGTAGGAATAACCAAGGGAGTATGGACTTCTCGGTCTCATCTCCATGGACACCGCACGTGAGTTTTGTGAACTTGAGCAAATCACTTGGATTTCAGCCGTCACACTTGTCGATTGAGAAGATAAATTTTTCCCGGTTCAAAATTACATGATGAATGAAGTAAAGTGATAATGCTCTATTTACCTCAAAATAATAGTAATGCGAAGCAGAGCTGCAGGTGAGAAAAGATTAGTCCTGGGTGATAAGTACATATGAGTTCATTTTACTCATCTGACTTTTATATAAGTTTAAAATTTTCGTAATATAAAAATTTTAAATCAATATGATTTTAAACATATTACAGCCCCCCCAAAAGTCATTTTACTCTATGGTAGAAATTCTTGCCTTCTTGTAGGGGTGATTGAGTCTATTAAGAGCTGATGATGTACCATCTAAAAGAAGCCCCACCACTAAGAGTGCTTTAGAAATGGATTCCCAGAAGCTGGAATTTTTTTCTTATGACGTTTTAACGTGAACTCCTGGAAGCAGAATGTGAAAGGACACAGGGAGATGACAAGAGGGATGAAGAAGCAGAAAGATCCAACTTACAGTGGCACTTGGGAGTGGGAGCATTCCATCCCTCAGAGGCACTGCAGAACAAGTTTTTCTCTCCTACCAGGTGGTAGCCATTCATACAAGTGTAAGTCCCCAGAATTTGTCCTTCCATCTCCTCTACAACAAATATGCTATTGTCCACTGAGGGAAGCTCTGGGCAGCGCTCTGATGGAGGGAGAAAGGAGAGAGATTCACCTGTGAGGAAGCCCTTAGGAGACACCCCCGCCTGGCTGCCTTCTTGCTGGGTTATTGATTCTGATGCCGGCTCATGGGCAGCCGCATCCCTCCCCACCCAAGGATTCCCAGCGTTTTGTTTTCAAAAGGATAACAGGAATTTCACTCGGATTCAGCCGTAAGTTATCCACTCCGAAAGAAACAATTCCCCTTCCAAATGGCAGCCCAGGAGTTTATAACATAGAAGACCATTCATGATTTTGAAACTGATACTGCTTTTGCTCCTAGGACAGAAGGGGAAAGTAAACAGGTAGCCACCCACCTTCAGAGCAGACTCATCATTAAATATTTTACTAAGCCCCTATGGAATACAGAGAATTCAGCCAAGTACTTTGAAATTTTTCAATAAGGCAAAAATACGTTTCATTGATTTAAATTTCATTAAAACCCTAGAGAGAATGCCTCACAACCCACACGCTGATATCAAGTTCCTGGAAAACTGAGTTTAAGAAAAGCATACGTACCATCTGAGCCAGAAATCGGCCACACAACCACAAGATAGCACACAAACCAAAAAAACATCTTGTGATCAATTGCTTGATCCAGGGTGGAATTAACTCGGCCCAGACACCTGGTTTGGATCAAAACAGATCTTCTAACAGCGCTTAAGATCAGAACAACCAACCGCCTCCCTCCTAGAGAAGGGGTTGTACTGATTCCTCTGCCCTGGAAAGAACGCCAAAAAAAATAAAAATAAAAATCTTATAACAGAAAGTAACAGCTGTAAGGAATTTGGTACAGGGATAGACTTGGCAAAAACACAAAGGGGTGGTAAAGAGCTGCTAGTTTTAAAACTCAGTTTCAGAAACTGCCCAGGTTCTGTTCATGCAAATCCAGTTGCCCAGTCCCTCTGAAGTGCAGGCTTACCCTTCCACGACAGACTTGGGCCAAATGGCCTTGCCATGACCTTCACTTGTGTCAATATTTGCCAGTGTTTAAAGTCCACCTTCTGCAACTCTGTCCAGCATTGCAGGGGAGGAGGGGTGCCAATCCCTGATGCTTTCCCAGGTAAAACCCGACTCCGGGCCCTACCTCATCCCCTCAAATACCAGCTATGCCAAGGCTGTGAGCAGCGCCGAAGACTGAAAGCTCAGGGACGTCAGCTAACCTGTCTCTGATGGTCCAGAGTTAGGGCTGCCCAGCAAGGAGCGGGCCCTGATGGACTCCAAACCTGAGAAGAGCTCTGAGGTCCTGCAGCCGCGTACTGTTCTCGTTATAGCTGGCCTTTGCCAGGCTTCCCTTCTGGGGGCCTCCCTGGGGGCAGAATCTGGCCTGAGCTGAGAGCCAACCAAATGAACTGAGAGAGAGAAATGACAGGAATGCCTCGGTCTCAGGGACTAAAGCATGTAAAATTGCTTCAGGGCTGTCACAGCTTCTATTTCATGACTGTTCCAGCAATTAGTTGGTTGTCCATTCTCCAATTATGAAATAGAAGTAAAATTCCTACAAAATTTTAGGTTGAAAAAAATAGTAAATATAACAGATTGTAATAAATCTAAGGGACACAGCAAGGTCTCAAATGTTAAGCTCTTCCCCACCCACTAGCATTACTTCGTGATGACTTACTTGTTCGTGTCTTTCTCCAGCCCTAGGCTGTTAACAACCCTGGGACAGGGAGTGTGCAGAACTGTCTGCTGAGTGAGTAAAAGGCGATGCAGACCACACGAGAAGAGCTCAGTCATCCAGAAACTGCCACGGCCTCTCAGATCCACACTGAGGATTCATCACTTAATGTACACCGCCGTTATGGTTTTTCCATATCTTATCTGGTCAACTAATATGTGAGCTCCTAGAGAACAAACACCTTTTAAAGTATAATTTTCAAATAGTTAATAATGTGTCACTCACATAAATATACAATGAGCGTGTCAGAGATTTTACTCAATTAGTGAGGGGACTGTTGAGGTGCTATGCCTAGTGCAAGGAACAATTTGAGGAACAAAGGTTTATACAGGCAGGCAGGCAAAGGCATCCTGAATGCAGAACTGGTCAATATCATACGGGGCAACAAACTAATATTTGGAATCAGCTTTTCTAATAGATGAAGATGAATTGAATTTGTTGGAAAAACTCATTTGCTTTGCTGTGGTCAGAATCTTTTTTATTATTCTCAGAAAAGAATCACTTGCATTCTTACCCATTTTCTACAAATTAACCTCGACTTTTATAGTTGTGAAAAAAAGCCTAGTTAATAGAAAATGAAGCAAAATTACACACCCCTGTGTAATTTCTGGGGAAAAGATAATCCCCAGAGAACATCTGCTAAACGATACTTAGTGATCCCCTGAAAAATCTCTCCAGTGATCCCTTTTTGCCAAATTCCACACTGCATAGTCAACTTCTTGAGGAATACATGTTTCTCAGTGTCTCATGTACATAGTGTTTGTACAATAAATGATTTTAAAAAGTGAAAGAAAATTTTGTCTATTCCTACATAAGTATGGGCATAAAACAGAGCATTATTACAGGAAATAATTGCAAATAATTCTCCATCTCAATGGTTTATTTCAGATTCAGAATTACTAGGACTTTAGAAAGGTACTATATTGCCTATAACATGGTTTTACTACTATTTCTCCATGAAGTATAAAAATATTTATACCAATTGGACTATAAATATCCTCACAAAGTTGAGGTCAGGTTTTGCTGCCAAATAAACTAGGAGAAAACTTTGTTTTCAAAGCTGTTTAGATTTTGCAGTTGTATATAAGGGATTATAGAATTACATATTTTATTATGAGTGTCCAAGTTCAGATAAATTAATAAACAAACATTACAAGCTCTTCTGGACCTTTGAACATTAAGAGCAATTTGATCTGATCTAGATTGTTCTCTGGAGAACTGGGGTAATAGGTCTGGTGCAGAAGTTGTATTCAGACTGGTTTGATTGCTTTACAAGGGAATGGGCAGGGCGTTAATTAGTGGAAGAGATTAGGAGGTGAAGGGGGAGGGGTAGAAATACAAAAGTCAGCCATGTCTAGGCTAGGGGAAGAGTTGTGGGGAGTCCAACAAGGGGCTCACACACTGTGGTGTGTGTGTGTGATTTCAAGAAAACTGGGAGGTGATTTCAAGAAGTTGTACAGTATGTAATGAATGCATTCGCTGTGGCCTTTGTCAAAATAATTCAGAAAAGATTTAAATTGCTTCTCCAATTAGTTTTTATATATTGACTTGATATTTCTTGAACGCCTCCCCAAGAAATACCTGGGCCAGAAAAGCAGTCTTTATACAGATTATATGAGAATAAAACTAATATAAATTTTCAAAAAGTCTAATTGTGCATGAATATTAGAGAGTAAGCTTTGGTTGTGAGCCAAGACAGACATGCACTGTGGCAAGATCAAACTTGATGGATGAAAAATACCCTCTCTTTCAGTGGTGGCAGCGTAACTGCAAAGACTATTGCTCACTTTGTTATATCCCTTTAGACTTGCTACACAGTCCCTTTTGCCAGATAGCTAACCCATAGCAATATCCATTTCACCCTTCTTCTTTATAATTAAACTCCATAACTGTGGCTCACACAGTGCCACCTGGAATATTAAAAAAACAAACCCTTTCCAGCCTGCCTTGCAGCTACCTAGAGCCATTGGACTAAGCTTTGGCCAGTGGGATGAGCATAAATGTTATGTGCAGCACCTAGAAACATCCTTAAAAGCAGCTGGCGTGCCCTGTGTGCTCCTTCCTGCTGCCTGGAATGTAGCTTGAGCAGCTATATTGTCTATGAGGCAGAATCTAACACACTTTGAGAAGTTAACAGGGCAGAAGGACCTGGGTCCGTGATGCCTGAGGGAGCTCCCTTCTAGCCTTAGGCTGCTTATCTCCAGACTTCATTGGAGGTGGCAGTAGCCTGCCGGCATCTGTAAGGGGCTAGCATTTGGGGTCTGCTGACATCTTCTGCTGAAACCAACTTTAATCTGAAACACCCATGAATGCAAAAAACAGTCGAACCGTCGATTGATTAAAATGATCCAGAAATTTAAATTTGGGAAAGAATGTTTAAAAGACCTTATTAAATCACGCCCAGGGACTGTTTCCCTCATAAATTCTAAAAAGGCAATGGATGAGCGAGGAGAGAGCTTAGGAAGTGAAAACTGAATGTAAACAATAAGGTAAGCAGATCACTAATGAGGAAAACCCAAGCGGGTCGACAGGTATTTTCTGAAAGTGGGCCGGATGGCTGGTGAAGAGCGTGACACTTTCTGAGGCCTCCTGAGATTGGGAATGCTGCTTCCCAAGGGTCCCTCTGCTTCTGAAGTGATTTCACTTAATTGCAAGGATAAATTCACCTATAGAATCTGACCTGGTTTCCACAAGTAAGGCGTTGCATACAACCAAGAAGGGCATTTAAATGCCTTTGGGAATTCAGGAGGGTGTTCTGCCTGTAATGATTCAAGTAATACAGCTGGCATGGGCTTAACCAGAAAAGAAGACTGTGCCTTGAAGTTCTTAAGAAAAGATTGCCCTGGCTGGTGGTTCAGTTGGTTAGAGCGTTGTCTCAGACACTAAAGAGTTGTGGGCTCTACTCCCAGTCAGGGCACACACCTAGGTTGCGGGTTCCATCCCAGTCGGGATACGAATAGGAGGGAAACAATCAATGTTTCTGTTTCTCTCTCTCTCTCTAAAAATAAAAAACACACTCTCAAGTGAGGATTTTTTAAAAAAGAAATATTACTCTCCATTACTACGATCCATTCAAATTCTTAAATATTCCACAATGTCCAGTAAAAAATGTTTGAGCATTTCAGAATCTCATATATTCTCTTCCTCTGCTTAAAAAAGTTAATATCAAATGGATGTCTTTTTATTTTTTGTCAAAGGGAAATGGTTTGTGTGTGTGTGTGTGTGTGTGTGTGTGTGTGTGTGTGTGTGTGTAGTATCTAGCTCCTGGTTTCCTACCCTGATGTCCAGGGATGGGTTTCAGGAGGTCATGACCTCCCTAAACTGAATGCAAAGCTTACCATGTCTTCCTTTTTCTGGGGAGATTCCTTGGCTTTTGTCAAATTTTCAAATGAATTCAAGACAAAGAATGTAGGAGGTTGGATAGTGAATCGAGACCATAGTACATGGTAATAGGCAACAGCCAGACTGCCACAGGAAAGGCCAGTAGGGTTGTCACCAACGAGGACAAGCTAGTGTGCCCGCAGGCTGAGCCTCCTCACAGTGAGTGCCCAGCGAAGACCCTGGAGAGATTTAAGACTTGATATAATAATTAAGGCTACAGAAATCAAGCAAGTTAATGACTATCACTGGAGTACTCTCTGAGTAGTCATTTTCTAATCCCGATATATTTGTTAAGTTCCAGCTACATTTAATAATAGTAATATGCTATGTTGGGCCTTCACTGTCACAAATCTTACAGTTTACCTTGTTCTGAGGTAATGGGCTTTGACAAAACTCCATCAGTGTTGAGATGAGCCACTCAATAAGGGTGTCCATTCACTTATTTGTAAAACAGGGTTAATGATGCCAGGCCCTCCCAGCCTTCTACAAATGATGGGTGGATTGAATAGGAAAACACCTGCAAAGGTGCTTATCAGTCTAAGGAAATTACACCCTTGACACCCTCATTGTTGTTACTCCTCCAGGTATATTGCTAAGGCTCGGTGCATTTAGCAATACTTATAACCACTGCCGCTCAGCTGCAAACTTGGAGAACTGATAAATCATTCTCATGTTATCAGAATGGGGGTTAGACTACAGAACTTGCAACTGCTCTACTGTTATTATGAACATGTCATTTTATCTCTATTGCTTCTGACCCTAAAGAGAGTGTTCAAAGTTCCTTAATCATAAACATTTACCTAACTGCTACTTAATAATGCTTGTGGTCAAGGTTATCCACAAGAGGGAAAGCATTCCCAGGAGGGAGGGATGACTTACAGAACTGCTGTTAACTTTTTCCTTTCCAATAATAAACTCTAGAAAGAGGATAGGGACTTTGTTTTAGCCACTGCATGACAGCCAATGGGTGATCATTAAATATTTGTTAAATAAATTAATAAAGCTTTAGAATGTCGATAATGCATGACCCTAATGGTCTCACTGATATCATTTTGAAGTGCTAATGAACTTGATGAAAGGCAGGAGTTACCAGTTAAAACCATCATTTGGAAAAATATACACAATCTAATAATTTGAAGATAATTTTAAAGAAGCTAGTTTCAAACACATTTTGCATGATGTTATTAATAGTTTGTGTCTGTATAGTGATAAAATCAAATGTTATCTTCTTTTGTGTGTGATTTCAAAACTGCATTTTTAATTAAAAATAACTTTTATTATATTTCTTATTACAAAAGCAATACATATTACATATTTTAGCATGATTTTATTTATCGAGGAGATAAACTTTTCTGCAGAGAAATGCATCTCTTGATTTATAAATAAAAATCAATAAGCAAGAAAGTATTCAAAGAAATCCACTGTGCTTTAACATGGTAATTATCTTTTTACAGAAGACAGATATCTATATTCTGGAAGTTTAATTTAAGATAATACTATGGACATTAGACTTAAATGCTCAAACTACCTCAATTTCTACCAAAGAACCGATGCAACAAATTACCGTACATTCTGATTAAATACATGCAAACACTAATATGGGGACTTAAAAATGCCTTACATGGGTGAATAAATAAGTAAATAAAAAATTATCTGATCATCAAAAGACAGTGTATATAGATGCAGAAAGAAAACTGCATCACAAGAACAAAATCATTACAGTACAGCATGCTACAAGCAGTGAAATGAAAATCACCTGCTACAGAGCAGTCGGGGCCTTTCAAAGGCAGCTTTGTGCATAGAAAACAAGCTCTAGTTGCTGGATGCTGAACCGCCTGCAGTCCAGCTCTTCACATCTCCGGTAACAGCGCGTATCGACCACAGTATAAGTGAACCATTTGGGAAAAGCTACATTTCATTATTTTTCTTGCTACTCACCCGCTTGCCCAGCAAGTGGGCATCTGAGTGAAAGGAAAAAAAAATGTCAAAAGCTAAAAACTTACCATTCTTTAAAAAAAGAAATGATTTTGCTTGTAAGATATTATATCCTTTGGAGTTTCTATGTTCCTTCATGAGTGACATATTAATATTACATCTACAGAGACGTATTTGCCTATTTGACAGTCACTAATCTGAGGAATAATTACTTGGCTTGTCCTTAAGGGAAAGCAAATGACTAATGTAGTAAGGGCTCCGGGCCCCCCGTCCCCCCAGTGTTTTACATGAGACAGGGAGACCAAGACAGAGACAACTAAGCTAAGAGGCCGGCATCAGAACACCAGCTGCTCTCCAAGTCGCAGCCGCAGCTTTCTTAAGAGACCATATCATGGTGACAAATCCCGCAGAAGGGCACCTGTTTTGAAACTGAAACAACTCCCTGGTAGAGCTGATTCCCAAGGAACCTTCTTTACCTCTTCATGGATGTAACTGGTGCCCTGCTTTCCCAGCTCTCATTCCCAGTCACGGCAGAGAGATCAGTCCTCCTCAGCTCTGAGAGGCACGCAGCATCCGGTAGAAAACACAGGAGCTACGAAAGCGAACTCAGGCCCAGCCCGAGTGGCTCAGCGGTTGAGCATCGCCCTGTGAACCAAGAGATCGCAGTTCCATTCCCGGTCAGGGCACATGCCCAGGTTGCAGGCTCGATCCCCAGCAGGGGGAGTGCAGGAGGCAGCCGATCAATGACTCTCATCGTTGGTGTTTCTATATGTTTCTATCTCTCTTTCCCTCTCCCTTCCTCTCTCTGAAATAAAAACCTTTAAAAACAAAAAAAAGGAACTTAGAAGACAGGTACCCATTTGAGGGAGTCTTGCAGTCAGATCCTACCCTTAAGGGGCCTAGAACAAGAAAAACTTCTCTAAACGAAAAGGTTGCAGCTGAGAGAGCTCTTCCATCGCCACAGCGAGACATTTCCGGGACTGCATTACTCAGATATCCTCCATTCACCTGGTGAATTTGTCTGTTTCCAATGTGACCAAAAAAGGGAAAGTTCGCATATGTAAGCATATGTGAGCATACTCTATCCTGCTCACCTGGCACGGATGCAGAGACCAGCTCCCACGGCACGGAAAAGGCTTCCTGGAGTCCAGCCCTCTCACCTGGAAACAGTTCAATCTCATGAGGTGCATTTGCACCTTAGGCAAAAAAGAGCCAGCTAAAGAGTCATAGGTAGGACGTTAAACACCGAACAATGAGACTGGCCAACTTGGGCCAGACCCAGCAAAATGATCATAAAAAAACTAACCGATTCAGGCTGTTAACATTTTGAGGCACAAAGAAGTTAAGTTTTTCAGTGTAACTGATATTCCCATTAGGCCTGAGGAGCAGGAAGGTGGTGGTTTTTCCAGGCCCCCGATTCGTGGTCCCAAATGTCCAATCCCCACTTCACTTCCTGTTCAAGCCCTGGTGGTGCTGACATCCAAGTGTTTCAGCAGGTCCCAGTCCCCCAAGGAGGTCTGCCCTCAGCTTCCATATCAGGAGAGCGATGGAAGGGATGCCAGAGAGGAGTGTCTAGGCACAGCCAGCGAGGTCTCTGCCTAGGAGCCAGAGGGGAAGACAAACAAAGCCATTACAAGGTCACCAAACGGCAAAGAAAAGTAAAGCAGAATCCCTCTGCTGCTTCCCGCTGCCCACATGCCCACATCTGCATACAGACACGTGCACACTGGTGTGCTTGCACACCCCCCTTTACTCCCAGGAGCCAGAAAGACTTCGGTGGCACAGTCATGGGCTTCTTTCCCAGAAAAGCAGGCTTTCCTGTGCCATGCTGGACCGGGCACTCCTTTCACACTTCGACCGTAAGCTACACACCCAAGAGATGAGGTAGAAGTTATAGGGAGCCCTGTGGTAAAGGAGAGTATGGAGGCTCCACCAGCCAAAAGGCCATGCCAAGAGAGTGACACTGCAGTCAGGGGCTACTTGGCTTCTGAGCAGGGTCTCTACCACTGCAGTTATCCCAGCCCATTCTGAAATCAGTCATCAGAGCAGATATCAGCTTCTTCCCATAAACTGGGATTGAATGTCCTAGCTTGTGAGAAATCCTTCCCTCTAGAAGTGGTTCTCAAATGTTAAGTGTGCATTTGAATCACCAGGTTATGAAGATTCTGATTCACTGGGCCTGGGATGGAGCCCAAGAGTCTGCATGTCTAATGAGCTCCCAGTCCTTGTTAGAGCAACAAGGAGTAAGGAGTGAGAATGGTGACAATTCCACCTGTATTTTCCTGTCCCAGAAGAAGTTAAAACACTGGTTTATCCCACTGGCTGTAACTTCTTTAGAAACAGGCAGGTGATATTTTAGAAGGAACATCCCACTAATTCTAAGAGATCTTCAAAGGTTTTCTTTACAATAAATAGTGAGTTACATGTTGCTAATGGAAGTCAAAGGTAACAGGTAATTCTTGTAGAGGCACCAAAAAGTATACACAACTCCTGTGGAAGTTCGGTGCCTTTCATGATGTCCTTCCCATCTTCCCCAGCAGGTGGTGGAAGAGGGCCACGCCTACACCAAGGACTCCAGCCAACTGGGAGCTGGCTTTGGCTTGTCTGAGGCTCAGTCACTGAGCAGTGTGAGGCAAAGTTTTGGGAGGGGCGGGGGGAACTGGGTGGAAAACACAACCCAAAATACAAAACAAAAAACCCAGAAGCCTTCTGATAAGTTCAAGTTACTCAATAATTTTATTTACCCATTCTGCACACACACACTCAAAACACATTTCAAATACAGTTATACACACCTTCTGTGGATCTGAGCGGCATATTTTGATATCAATGTCACCAGATTAAATCAGAATGCTGTTAAGGACTTACATTCCTTCTTTCAACAAAGCTGTGCCTAGGAAATCAGCAGGATAACTCTATTGCTTGGGTTCCCAATTCAGTCCATGCCCATTGAACTCAGTAGTTCTCAGCCCACGCCCAACTCCCTCCAAAGGGCACAGCTGGTGATCAGTCCTTTGCTTTTGCCGTATCAAAACCATCACCATATCAGAATGAGTTGATCTAGTTACTTCAACACAATGAAAAAATATACACAAGCAATTCAGACACAAAAACATTGAAAAGGTAAATATTGGTCATAGATCCCCAATGAAAGTCTTACTGGAAAAAATACTTTACCACCTCTTAAGATAAATTTTGAATGCAAAATTACCATTGCATTTTCATTTATTAGATCATGAATAAGTGCCAAATGTATGGCAGACTAAAATCAGCAGCATTATTCAATGGAGCGCTACATTCTATAACAGAGAAGTTGTGGACACAGAAGGTTCAGACACAAGTGGTGAAAGCGAAATCCAGCCCAGAAGCGGGGGAAAGGATGGGATGGCTTCAACTAGGTTAACAATTTCAGGCTTTAAGAAGGCATTTCCATAGCTGAGTTTACAAAATGCCAAACAAGTGATATACAACCTTCATTTCTAAAAATGATGAAACTTTGGCTACTACTATGAAAGAAATGTTGATTAAAAATCATAATTTACAGAACTTCCCCCTAAAGAAAACATGTGGAGTGTTTGCTTCCTTTCTTTGTAGGACACTTGCAAATAGAGAATCACAATAATGTATATATGCCACCAACTGGTACAATTACAAACAGTCAGAGTGTCAGCTACATATCCTAATACAATCAGTCAGTCAGCATACAGACCCTACTAGAGTCTGTCAGTCAGTTAGAATACGGACCCTACTGGAGTCTGTCAGTCAGTTAGAATACGGACCCTACTGGAGTCTGTCAGTCAGTTAGAATACGGACCCTACTGGAGTCTGTCAGTCAGTTAGAATACGGACCCTACTGGAGTCTGTCAGTTAGCTCATGAACCCTACTAGAGTCTGTTAGAAGCATACAGATCCTACTAGAGTCTGTGAGTCAGTGAGCATACAGACCCTAGTAGAGTCTGTCAATCAGCATGCGGGTCCTTTCAGAGTCTGTCAGTAAGCACACAGCTACTACTACATACAGTTTTCTGGACACTATGAGTCTAAATTAAACTCCTGGACATACTTCTGATGTCTCTGCCACCTCTATGGGAAGTAAGAGATCAATCCTGCTAAACTCGACTCAACTGTTACATAATTTTTTAAATTAAAATATTTTAAAACACAAGCAAGTCAAAGTGCATACCAAAACACCTGGGTAAATTTACCAAATTTCTTGAAAACAAACACAGTCTGGCTTCTGAGCTTAGCAAAGACAATGAAATGTGCATAAGATATAGTTTTCTCAATTTTTAGACACTTTTTCCCTTGTCCTTTGACTACCCAAAGCACCCACAAGTTCCTCTGGAACTCAGAAAAACCATTTAAGATGGGTTTGTTTCCAAACAGCTACATCATGTTTCTTCATAATGCCAGTACCTCTGAAGATCCAGTAGGTTACAAAGAGGAAAAGCCAGAACCTCAGGAAACACTCAACAGTTCAGTCTAGGAATACAAACATATTGTATTCCTAACTCTTAACTTCTTGGGAGGAAAAACAAAAACAAAAAATAAAAATCAGAGATAATGATAAGCCCATCTAGCACAAAGTTTTAAAAGAGTTTTAAACATTTTCCTATTCTGCTTTCCAGTCGAATGTAAAACAATACCCTTACCAAAATAAACCAAATAATAAGTAACAGCTAAATTCAAATCTGAGGATTAGGAGATAGAAAGAGAAGCTTTTAGATAAAATCTGCTTCAGATTTCTCTTAAAAGTCTGTCACAGAATTCCTCACTCGGCTGTAAAGCAATAAAATAGAACTGAATGTCAACTGCAACTAAAAAATTGGAAAAAAAATTGAATATAGTGATTTTCCTTTCCCAATTTTCTACCAATAGATAAATGCTAAAGCCTTCACCTATTTCTCCCATAACAAAACCAAAAGCCTCAGCAAAAAATACTCTGGAGTCCACTCTTTCCTTGTAGGATTTGTGATCTAGACATAATCGTAGCAATGTGGACATACTACCAACACCCAACAAGTAAGACCGGGAGAGGGAGACAGTGGAAAAAAGACAGCAAGGAGGGCTTCTCTAAAACACGCAGCTCTGTTCCATCCTATGTTCTCCTGGCTTCTTCCTGCTGAACCTTCTCTGGAGAGATCTTGCTCTAAAAACAAGAATGCCGAAACCCTTGCTGTTGTCAAGGTCTAATTTCTTGTGTCCTATCTGAGAAGAGTAAGACCACCTCTGGCTCCTGGGATAAGCAAACGAGCACAGGGCGTAGTGCAGAGAAATCATCCTCCTGAACATCCCAGTGACCTGCAGCTAATGCTGGGGCTCATAACAACGTAACATAATGCTAGTTCACTAGAGACTTCTCTCACTAGGAGCATGTACAGCCCAAATCCAAAGTCTCTGGAGCAAAAAGCTCCTCTCATTCATCAGCTCTGAATTACTCTCACAGCACAGCAGGAGAAAAGTCAGAATGAATGCTCATTTGGGCTAAAGATACCACCAGCCAAGCAAAGTAGATGAGGCAACCTCCTAAAAGTGCCACACATACCTCCCAGACCACACTTCATCCTCACAATGGGGTGGGGAGGGGGGGAAGGGGTAGTCCCACCTCCCAACTTTCTCAGTCTCATGGCCAGGGACAAGAGAAACGTCAGGAGAAGCAATCTGTACTCCACTTCAGTGTCCACACTTACAGGCTCGGTGTTGCTCTTTCGCAAATGCTCATTTATTATAAGTTACATGCCCTGTCCCTAAAATAACCTTCTTCAAGGCAAGCACCTTTTCTTCTGCTTCTGTGTACCTCTCCACCCCCACTCCCATCCAGCCCACAGCCCCACAGACTGAAACAACAAGGACACATTATGTAAACGGCTGAATGGGAAGAGCAGGTAATTTCAAGCAGAATCTAGGCAAGCAGCCTTTGGAAACTCACTGTGATGTCCTATTCGAGACATAAGAATAAAGGACTCAAGGCAGAAGTCAACTGCCTGCAATGATAATCTCTCTCATACTACAGGTTTTATCTCAGCGCCTGTCTCCAGGGTGCTTAAAATTCCCAGCTACCACCCAGGGACACTTATTTACATAGTGATTTGTTCCACATCACCCTGCAATGTAAATGGTTACAGGTGGGACTAGAACCTAGAAAAGCCTCTAAAACCCGGCAGCCTGCTTTTAAGGGGGTCACTTTAGTTAATATTGTGATCCGCTAGACATCTAACTCCACGAGGGATTCGGAATTCCTAGGTTGCTGCTTTGTCCCAGGAATTGCCATCCCAATATCTGTTTACCCACCTTCACAGATCGGAGCTCCGGCCTGGAGCATGGATCAGAACGGACAGGGAAGCTGTTTAAACACATGCATGTGGTGGCTCCGCCCTGAGGTTCGGAGTGGACAGTAGGCCTAAAGCAGACCCAGGCGTGGGTACACGCCAGAGGTTCTAACAGGGATGCCAATGAGTACCTCAAGACAAGAATCCTGACAAAAGGTCTTATTGCCAAAAACACCCCAGCAAATAGCTCCTCTGTTCTTGCTGGTTACTTCTAAAAGACGAGCTGATGACTTTAAGATGGGGAGTCATCTCTCTTAAAAATTTCATGAGAACTCTTGCTTCTCAGAAAAATGCCCATATATTCATGTTTTGCATACAAATTTGGAGGGAGAATTATGCTCTCATGAGTCCCCAAGGGGCTAAGCATCCCTGCTGTAAACATTTCCTGTTTAACCCTACAGAGAAAATAAATGACAGAAGTTAATAGTATATATTAGCAGTGAACAGCTAGACTCCACAGGGTCCCAAAGACTCCTCTAGATGTTTTAACTTAAAAAGGAGTGTTTTGAAAATAATAAGCAGCTCTAGTGAACTCTTCTCTGCCTTTTTGACTTGGGCAACTCAAACATCAATAGTGACTCCTGAATCGGTGGTGACTGTCCTAAAGAGCCCCAGAGGTCACTGGCTTGCAGTGGTTGGCAAAGAAGCTGGGAGCTACTGGAGAAAAGATATAACCTGCCCTACAAGAGCCCTGCAGCAGCTAGAGACCACCCTCCTCTCCTAAACGTAGCAGCAGCCAAAAGACCTGTGCCTGGCTCATCAAGTGGAAAGTACAGACAGTTCCCACATCCTCAGAACCAGCTTCCCCCAGGGCATCAAAGCCTTAGGACTATTTCTCATGAAACGAGGCAACTCTGCCCTATCCACGTACTAGCTCCCGCTCTATATCCACTTACTAGCTCCAGAGTGTCCCTGGATGTCCTACAGCCTAGGCGGACCCTTGCAAGACCTGGCTTGAGAAAGGAAGGAAAAAGACAGGCTCCCCCGGTCCACATCCATTTGGGCCCACTGCAGAGAATCAACGGAGCCTAGGCTTCTCTTGCCAACCGTCCCTTCCCCCCCTAGTCAGACACTACAGCGACAATGACATGCATCACACTGGACAACCCAATGGGGCGATGAGGGAGGGGGAAGAAAGCAGGCGGGTAAGAACTGTGAGTAAAGCACACTTTGAGCAAAGGTGAAGGGAAAATGGGCTTCTGTGGCCCCCTCCACCCCCAATTTACCAACATAAGGGCTTTAGTGACTTGAAACATGGGGAACTGACAAGAACCAAGTGTACTGGCCATGCTTAGCCTCAGCCCAGGCATGCTAGTCACCCAAGAGGTGACCATCCTTGGCCATCTCCTCCAGGCCACCCAACTAAGGGCGTGTTCTCAGGCATCCAGCTCGTCACCTTGCCCATGGATGGGGAGATGCTCCACACTGCAGCACAGCTAAGGTGGGTCTGAAACACGCGGCCTCACGGTCATGGCCGGGGGTGGGGATTGGAAGTTAAATGATTCCTTGGTGATTAGTGACAGGGGCAGGAGGCCAGGACTGGAGGGAAACACACAGTTACACCACCGGAATGCTGACTTGGGTCTTCGGCTGGTCGGCCCCTTCTTGCATGTCCAGGGCACGGAGAGGGCTGAGGGGCTTGAGGGGCCGGCTCCCAACACTGTAATTTCGTGGACGCTTTACTGTATTCGAACTGGACAGAGGTGTAAAGCTGTTCCTTCTCATCCTTACAGGGGTTTGGTTCTTGGGAAAGTTGTTCTGATTAGAAACGGAGGGACACCACACAAATGAAAGCCAAGACAAAAGCTCACTCATAAAGGTTAAATAATGCTTATAACCACAACAGCTCCCTCTACTCCTGCTCCTCTGACACAGGGTCTGTCACAACTCCTGGGCTGTGGCCTGGTCCCCTAGCCCCAGGAAGCTAAAGGATTGTAGAGGGAGAAGCTCCTAGAGAATCATACTCCAAAGCAAGAAAGAGGGACAAAGAAAGGAAGGGCTTACTTAAGATCAAACAGCAGGACAGATCTACGAACAAAGCTGCGCCTCTTCACCCCACCTTACAGGCTCTTCCGGGACCTGCTTTCTAAAGAGAGCACTT